AATACCGAGAAAGCTTCGTGAACTTCCCAAACATCGATGTCTTGTAACTGCAAACCAGCTTTTTCTAAAACTTTTGGTGTGGCGTAGGTTGGTCTGCAATTTATATATATGACATTAATATCGAATCGTGGAAAAATAATTTTCTTCACAAAGAATATTTGTTTTGATTACCCTAATAGTAGTTGATCTTTGGGATCTTGAGATACATAAATAAAATCACGAAGGTATAATTTAGGCTTCAAACCAAGCTGTTTAGCTTTTTCTTCCGTGGTTATCAGACAAGCGGAAGCACCATCCGTCTGAAAAAGAGGAATTCGTTAGAAAAAAAAAAGGTTCAAAATTATGGAATGAAATGCTTAGAATGACATACCAAAAATGAGGCATTGGCAGCAGTAATTGTGCCATGAGGTTTCACAAATGCCGGTTTCAACTTGGCAAGTTTATCAGGAGTTGACACACGGATTCCATTATCTCGTTTGATAACATTATTTGAAGCTGGTACTGCAAGAAAAATACGAATTCTCGTAATCCAAAATCGATTGAACAAGTTATTTTCCAAAAAGACAATATAAAAAATGATCGCAGATACAGGGTTATCTTTTTACAGCATTGTAAGAGAAAAGTTTTGAAAGTAAAATTTAAGTTTTTTAAAAATAGTAGAAGAAAAACCCAAAATTGCTCATATCTCGAAAATTAAAATCAATTAAATGGTCCTTCTTCCGATTCAATGCCACAATTATTTGAAAATGTGGAAAAAGACAGTAATTACTTTTGAATGGAATGATGTCAGTCAAGTAACCATTTTCGAAAGCTTTCTGAGCGAATGTGTGAGACCGTAAAGCATATTCGTCTTGCGCTTCACGAGAAATCTTAAATGCGGCTGCTAATCGATCAGCTGAGTGACCCATGGTTTCGTTTGAACTGAATTCACTTACAGCGGGTAACTGCAGAAATTAGTAAAATATTACGAAACTGGAAAAGAAAAATATTCAATAAGGAGTCGATAAATTTTACCTCTGGAACTAAGAAATTTGGTCTAAAAGTGGAGAGTAGTTTCAATTTGTCTGGAACAGACTTAGCTTTATTCGCTCTCATCAGCAAACTTCTCATTTTACGATTAAGCCTGATTGGAACGTCCGACATGAATTCTACTCCACCGGCGACAATAACATCGTAAGCTCCAGCTGATATCAAACCAATGCCTGAATAAAATCAAAAACAAAAAAAGTTGAAAATTTGAGCACCTAGAAATAAGTTTAGTGAAGGCGAAAAGATAATCGATCATTTTTGTCAGGTAGCTTTTTATTTGAGCTTCAAAATTATTGAAGAGGATAGGTTAAGACGTGTTTCGATTCATTATGGGTGCTACGAGCAGTAAACCATTGACTCCATTATAGAAATCAATAAAAAGGAATAGCAAAAATAAAGAAAACCAAAAATACATTTGACTGAACAACTCAAGTTCGATTTGGACGCCTATTGAAATACTTAAAAGGAAGAAAAAAAAACAAAAAAAAAACCAATGATAATACATTTTACAACAACTCAATCTCGATTTGGACGTCCATTAAAATACTTATCATTTTGAATGTAACAGTCATTAATTAAGTATTAAGATGGAATAGAATAGTTGAGGTGCACTATTTTATGCTAATATTCGAACACAATAAGCTCTTATCCATAAAAGTACTGGAGACGATAATGAGATGTATATTTCAAGAAAATTTTATTCTCTCAATGACCAATTTCTCCGACACAATTGTGACGTCTACAAATAGACATTGAATAAATCGTAACATGAGAAAAAATGTTTAAAAATTGAATTTCGAGTTTTGAAGTATAAGTTTTGTTTTTAAATGAGATATGTATTTTACCTTTATCTTTGAATGAGGGACATTGAAAACTTTTTCTAGACCCTTTTGACTCGATATAAAAAAACTGAAAAACAAATTTACAATCTTTTACATTTCAGTGTTCCAAATAACAGGTTTTGAAATTTTGTTTCATCATTTTATCATATTGTAATGTTCAAAAACAATTTTTGATGAATTTTCGAGAATCCTTAAATTAACCAGCCTCTTATGGAGGAATTTGTGAATTTCCTTTCAATGAGGTAACTTTCACATGTAAACAAAGATGCTGACGTCACTTCAGAAACCACCAACATTGAATCATCAGAAAATTGATCGAAAAATTGATTTTTCAAGCCTAATTTAAATAGAAAATCAATAGATTAAAAAAAATTTGCAGGACTAGAATAGAGTTTAATGTTTTACTCTTTCTTGATTTTGAAAATGACTTCTTTTTTGGGAGTACTTTGAGGTATTTGGGGAATAACACAAATTATCATCTTCAAATAATGATTCAATCCGTTATAGCTCATAGGTGAATTTCTAAACTTTACAAAAATGAGCAGAGTTCCAAAATGCTAGACCATTTATCACAGGACATGAAATATATGTAATTTGACCCAGTTAGAAATGGCGAATTCATCACCAGCGACGCAGAATACGAAACAGATTCGAGGAAAAAAAGAGAAAAAAATAGAAGTCAGCTGATATCTTTGCATTAGACTCATTAGTCATTAACCTCAATAAACGATGCCCTAGACTTCAAATAAATCGAATTGTCTGGATGACATCAATATTTCTACTAATGCAAAGGAAAGTTG